ATTATATTAGTTTGTCCCATTACTTTTGAGCCTGTGAAAATGGAGAAACTCTGTAAAAAATGGCTGTAATTCCTAAACGGTTAATGCAATATTTTTGTTAAACCCCTTGAATTAAAGCTGAAAGTCTACGCTTCAGTCACATCTTGACTGCTTCATTTCAAATCCACTGTGGTGGTGTACAGAGGCAAAATTACCAAAATTGTGTCACTGTCCAAATACTTACGGACCTGACTGTATATACACACTATATAGCCAAAAGTTTGCAGACACCTGACCATCACACCCATATGTAGGTCTTCCCCAAACTGGTGCCACAAATTTGAAAGCACACGATTGTATAGAATGCCTTTGTAGGCTATAACATTACAATTTCTCTTCACTGGAACTAAGTGGCACAAACCTGTTCCAGCATGACAATGCCCCTGTGCACATTGTCATTATCACATGAAGACATGTTTTGCCAAGGTTGGAGTGGTAGAACTCGAGTGGCCTGTACAGAGCCCTGACGTCTGAACACCTTTGGGATGAACTGGAATGGTGACTGCCCCCCAAGCCTCCTCGCCCAACGTCAGTACCTGGCCTCACTAATGTTCTTGTGGCTCAATGGGCAAATCCCCACAGCCACGCTCCAAAATGTAGTAGAAAGTCTTCCCAGAGGAGTGGAGGATAACAGCAAATTGGGACTAAATCTGGAATGGGATGTTCAACAAGCACATGCTGTATGAATGTTATGGTCAAGTGTCTGCAAACTTTTGGCCATATGGTATATATATATATAGTTCTGAAAATCTGCAGGCTTTCTTTAAGGAAATATGAAGTGCAGGTTTTGCAGGTATCCCAACCACAAGGAACGTTATAAAACAAAATGGGCATGCTTTTTTTTAAAATAATCAGTGAAGGGGTGGTGTGATGCGGCCCGATCCTAAGTGTAGTTACTATCACCATTCCGAAGTTGATTATTTTCCAATAATAATCTGATTTGCCAGTGATTAAAAATGTTGGCGAACATGTTGTTGTAAACATGCTTTTTACCATTTATGTTTAATGTTATGGAAACATCGGTAAGACAAGTCACTTTATAACACATTATAACAGCCAATCTTTCCCTCACCAGACTCTCTTTTAGTTAATAGAGAAGTTAATAAAGGTACGTTCACACTAGTGAGCGACAAAGCAAGAGGCAACTTTTTTCGACCTTTTATTTTCTATGTACGCGCATGACACAGAGCCGCGATTTCAGCGACAAAGCAACAGTGCAACAAGCAACATGCAGGTTTAAAAGTTTTCAACTTTATGCAAAGTAGGTATGATGCAATAAAGCGACAAATCCAAACGATTGCCTCGTATGATTCCTAGAAACCAATCTTATGGTGCACATGGTGCAAATTTTTTTTTTATCCCCCCACTCACAACTTTACTTCCTACCTGCAATTAGTTACTATTTATTGCTTGACTCAAAAAAAAGGAATAAAAACAAAAAACTTCTTATAAAAAATCATCAAAACTTCAAAAAAAAAAATCATCTTATCCTGTCATTAAATGTGTATAGAGACATTATGAAGGAAAACGAAGCTTGGAAGAAAACAAGATCATTGGTGTAACTGTACTAGCGTTTGTAGCTAGTACAGTTAGCTTGTACTGCTAATAGCCTATGCAAAAACGCCAAGCATGTAACGTATATCAAACAACCGATTTTTCACACTTTTGTCACTTAAAATATTACACAGGTTTATGGAGCTTGATGGTCACCTCAAAAATTTCGGTTCCATCTTTTCCCAGAGCAGCTTGCCTCCTGGGTTAAGTTCAGATAACTGGGCAGGTCATTCCATTACAGACCTCACTGCCTCCTTCCTCTCCAGATATCACCAGCAGAGCTTAGAGGCATGGGTGGGATTGTGAAAATCAAATGACAATGTTTTTTTTTTAAAACTTTTGACAGGCAGTTTAGAAACATCATGTCCGCAGCACAGCAGCTAGGGCTGGGCACCACGACATTATCAATATCGTGATAAAATATGTCACAATACACTTTTCTGAGATCCCGCAGATATTAT